AGAATTCAGAAAATAGAACCTGTGGGTGGGCAGCTTGCTCCAAGGTCTTCCCCTAGGGTTCTGGTAGGGATCCCGGTTGGGGTGGAGACTGGTGGGCCTTGCCTTTTGATGCTCTTGTATTCCCCACAGACAATCAAGAACATGATGGAGATTGAGAAAGTTAAAGGCTTCTGCCAGGTAGTGGTGGCCAGCAAGGTTCGAGAGGGGCTGGCCCACCTCATCCAGTCTTGCGGCCTGGGCGGCATGCGACATAACTCTGTGGTGCTGGGCTGGCCCTATGGCTGGCGACAGAGTGAGGACCCACGTGCCTGGAAGACCTTTATTGGTGTGTGAGGGTCTGGCATCTAAGCTGGGCCAGGGACCGAGGGCCAGGGTTAAAGTGAGGTGGCAGAGATCAGAGGGTCACAGGCTGGCAGTCAGCAGTGACCCTCCTCCCTAGACACTGTGCGCTGTACCACAGCTGCCCACCTGGCCCTGCTGGTGCCAAAGAACATAGCTTTCTACCCCAGCAACCACGAGCGCTACCTGGAGGGCCACATTGACGTGTGGTGGATCGTGCATGATGGAGGCATGCTTATGCTTTTGCCCTTCCTGCTGCGCCAACATAAGGTGTGCCCGTTGGTTGGGCATGGGTGAGGGCAGCAGGGCTCTTGGAAAGCTGGGTGTGATTGGACCACGGACACGCTTCATTGCCACAGGTCTGGAGGAAGTGCCGGATGCGCATTTTCACCGTGGCCCAGATGGATGACAACAGCATCCAGATGAAGAAGGATCTGGCCATCTTCCTGTATCACCTCCGCCTGGAAGCGGAAGTGGAGGTGGTCGAGATGGTGAGCTGCCTGTCCTGCTCTGGCCCCGAGGATCCAGGATCATGCAGCCTGGTACTCATAGCTTCCCCTCTCTCCAGCATAACAGTGACATCTCTGCATATACCTATGAGCGGACACTGATGATGGAGCAGCGGTCTCAGATGCTGCGGCAGATGAGGCTGACCAAAACCGAGCGGGATCGAGAGGTAAATGGCTCTCCTGGTTCAGGCTTGAGTAATGGCCGGATCACACCTTTGAAGACACTGTCTGGTGGAGGTATCAGAATGACTCATTTGGGACTGGAGAGATAGCTCTGTAGGTAAAAGCACTTGTTTTTTTTCAGAGGATGCAGGTTCAATTCCCAGCACACACATGCTGGCTCACATCTATCCCTAACTCCAATTTCAGATGATCCAACACCCTCTTCTGAATTCTGTGGGTACCAGGCACACACAGGATACACCTACACACATGCAAACAAAACACTCATATGCATAAAAAAAAAAACTTAAAAAAAAAAACAAAAAAAAACCATTTCCAGAATGACTCATTTGAGTAGGCATAATGGTTTCTTTCCATAACCTCAGCACTCAGGAGGCTAAGACAGGTGGATTCCTGTGAGTTCCAGGCCAGTCAAGGGGGACCCTGTCTCAAAAACAAACCAACAAAAGCCAACAAACAAAAAGCTGGGCATGATGGCTTATGCCTGTAATTCCAGTACTTAGGAGGCTGAGGCAAGAGGCCAGCCTGTCTTAAACTAACAAACAAACAAAAACCCTCACCTGAACCAGAACTAATCAGTGCCCATGTCCTAGAGACAGGGTGGTCATGTTGGGCCAGCCAGGCCCTCATTTTCCCCGGGTACCAAGTATATACCCTCTGGTTGTCCTCAGGCCCAGCTGGTCAAGGATAGGCACTCAGCTCTGCGGCTAGAGAGCCTTTACTCAGATGAGGAGGATGAGTCTGCAGCAGGGGCCGACAAGATCCAGATGACATGGACCAGAGACAAGTACATGCCTGAGTCCTGGGACCCCAGCCATGCCCCTGACAACTTCCGGGAGCTGGTGCACATTAAGCCGTGAGTCCAAGTGATGTTGAGGTCTGAAGTGGAGGAGGAGTGGGAACATCCAAGCTGTGCGGATGGACCAGGGACAGAGACCTCTTTGCTGGGTATTTCCTAGTAGCCTGTGATCAGCTACTTTGTCCGCAGGGATCAGTCCAATGTGCGGCGCATGCACACTGCTGTGAAGCTCAATGAAGTCATTGTCACACGTTCCCACGATGCCCGCCTGGTCCTTCTGAACATGCCTGGCCCCCCTAAGAACAGTGAGGGTGACGAGAACTGTATCCTTTGATGTAAAGGCTGACAGTGGGGAGCTGTCCTCTCCTTGAGTGCCCCTGGGTGGGTGGGAAGTGGCCTTGGTCCTGTGGCTGCCTCCTTGACCTGATACCCTACAGACATGGAATTCCTTGAAGTGCTCACTGAGGGCCTTGAACGGGTGTTGTTGGTGCGTGGAGGTGGCCGTGAAGTCATCACCATCTATTCCTGAGCCCAGTGGAGTCTTGTGGCCTGAAGTTGGGGTGTCTAGGACAACAGTCCCCACCCCTACACCTATTTGCCAGTTCTGCTTTGCCCAGCCTTGTTTTGGACCAGCTTTGCTAGGTCTCCTGGGAAACCAAGCTTGGACCTGGCAACTGAAATGGATCCGAGGGCCCGTGGGACCCTGGGGGATATAGGGGCTCTTCTTCCCATGTCCCAGTGTAGGCCTATCCTGACTAGAGAAGATGGAGAGGGTTGATATGGGATTTGACATCTCAGTCTGGCCCAGGAGCGCTATTTATTGTATATTTATTGTTTGGATATCATCATCAGAGAAGGGGGAGGACAGTGAGATGGGGAGCTGAGCTGGGCCTGCTTTTGGGAAGACCTGGCCCAGGCTGCTGTGGACAGAGACCCTCATCAAGCCAAGCGGGATGGAGCTGGCCAAGCTGAGCCTGACTTTTTTCAATAAAACATTGTGTACTTCTGGGCCTCCTGCTGCCCCAGCTCTTTTCCCCCTGGCGCCAAGGAAAGAAAGACTGAACTGAACCCAAACCCAGAGCCAGATCCCCAAGGCTAGGCCCCTTCCTGGCCACCCCCATTGGCGCTTCTGCCCCTCCCACTGGCCCTGGGGCCCCTCCCCTCCCCGGTCCAGATAAGGCCAGCCCAAGACTGCCTCATCTGGCAGTAGGCACTGGGCTGGAATGGGGCTGCCTGGCTCCCCATGGCAGTGGGTGCTGCTGCTGTTGGGGGTGCTGCCCCCTCCTGCCACCCCCTTCTGGCTCCTCAATGTGCTCTTCCCCCCGCACACCACGCCCAAGGCTGAACTCAGTAACCACACAAGGCCTGTCATCCTCGGTAAGCCCCCACTAGGCCCCGGATGCATCAAGTGAGACCTTGGGGAGCCTGGGTCCTACTCCCCGACAGAGGCTCTTCTCCCCACAATTAGCCCTCATGCCTGACTTGGTACGGGGAAGGGCCAAGGCTTGTTCTACAGAGACACCTCTCCCCTTCACACTGTTCTCTCTCCAAGTTGTCTTCTTCAGGGGCTTGGGGTGGTGGTCGGCGAATGGGATGCGGTTTGCCTAAGGCCTTGGCCAGGGTACTACAAGCTGTGGCCAGCTCCAGATACACTGGATACTGGGTTAAGCCCCACTACTTCCTTGGCTTCTACCTTCCCAGGGATGAGATTCCTAGCCCGGGGTAGGCTTAGCAGAAGAGGTCCATGAAGGCCCTGCCCCCTGTTCTAGGCCCAGCCCCTGCCCCCCTTACCTATTTGTTCGCTCCTTGGACTTTGGCAATAGTGGAAAGCCAAGCTGGATGTTTGTTTTATGGGGGCAGGGGTCAGCAGCCTGGGTTCCCGCACCTTCCCTGTCCGAAGGGAGCCCGGAATTGTCAGTCCTGGCGGGACAGGAAGAGCGTGGCGGGAAGCTAAGTGTTGTTAGAACCTGGAGGGTGTGGGAGATGGAGGGGTGGGCTTTTTTGGTGGTAGGGTGGGGGGTTGGGGGAGAAGCCAGGAAGTCCAGAACAAAAGCTGATGCCCACAGTGCCTGGCTGCCTGGGGAATCAGCTAGAAGCCAAGCTGGATAAACCAGATGTGGTGAACTGGTTGTGCTACCGGAAGACGGAGGACTTCTTCACCATCTGGCTGGATCTCAGTGTGTTTCTACCCCTTGGGGTGGACTGCTGGATTGATAATACCAGGTATGTCCCCTGTGATCTACCCAGCCCCTACACATTGCCCTTTGGCAACTGGCTGCTAAATGTCCCACTGTCCCCAGGGTTGTCTACAACCGCAGCTCTGGGCGCGTATCCAATGCCCCTGGTGTACAGATCCGTGTCCCTGGCTTTGGCAAGACCTACTCTGTTGAGTACTTAGATGACAACAAGCTAGCAGGTATGTGTACTCAGGGAAAGGCAGGGGCTCTTGTCGGCCATTAGGCTGGCCTACAGGTGTAATGGACAGAGACCCCTATGCTGCTGCCTCCCCACAGGTTACATGCACACTCTGGTACAGAATCTGGTTAACAATGGGTACGTGCGGGATGAGACAGTGCGGGCCGCACCCTATGACTGGCGTCTGGAACCCAGTGAGTGTTTGCAGGTAATGGCTTGGGGGCATGACAGGTAGTTCCAGACCCTAACTGCCCTGACCTGTCCACCCCTCTTCAGGCCAGCAAGATGACTACTACCAGAAGCTGGCAGGACTGATAGAGGAGATGTATGCTGCTTATGGGAAGCCTGTCTTCCTTATTGGGCACAGCCTTGGCTGCCTACATGTGCTGTATTTCTTACTGCGTCAGCCTCAGTCCTGGAAGGACCGCTTCATTGATGGTTTTATCTCTCTGGGGGCTCCGTGGGGTGGCTCTATCAAGCCCATGCTGGTCCTGGCCTCAGGTGAGGAGCCTCCTGATCACTGTCATCCTGTGTGGGGTGAGGGAGGGACGTACACACACACACACACACACACACACACACACACACACACACACACACACACAGCTCTGGATCACAGAGCTGGCTGTCACTCTAGCTGTGTTCACAGTATTGCCCAGGGAAATTGTCTATAGGGCGTACCTGCTGTCCACCAGCTCCTTAAAGACAGCACCATTAGGAAGTCTTATTGGTTTAAATATTGAGGCCGCTCCACGTAGTTAAAAGGGAGGTTTATTCTGTGGGGTAACTTACAAGTGAAGGGATAGGTAACAGGGTCTGGGAAAGGTGTAGTGCAGTCCGGCGCTGTTCTCTGGAGAACTCTGTTCCGTCTACCTCCAACATCCAGGATCCAGGAACCAAGGGAGCCGGCCCATCCAGATGTCAGGTCTTCAGGGTCCTCTCTCGGCTCTGCCTTGTAGGTGTGACAGTTACCGAAGCCTCAATGGGGGTGGTACTTCCAGGTCAAAGCTGGCCCGGCTACCCACCACAATGTCTCCTTGCAGAGTCTTTTTTTTTCTTTGAACATAAAAACAGGTTATAATTTAAAAGTCCACGGTTATTTGAAACTGGGAAATATTTTCTCTGTAGAAAATAGTAAAAATTTCCCAATAAGCCCTTTTAAGCCAAATAATAGCTGAATTATACACATAATATTGATTAGATTCTGGAATACAGAAGAAACCTATCTGTTCAGAGAGCTATGTTTTACTTAAGTTGTGTAAGTGAGATTCCTATTCATCTTCCCCTTTACTGTTTGATTTAATGGCAGACATTTTTCTATAGGCTAATCCATAATCTAAAAGATTTTAGCCTCCCCTCCTGAAAATACAGCCAGCATATTCTTTCATCAGCTTGATACGGTACAAATTCTTATCCTATAGTGAAATGTTTCACTAAAGCTTGCCCAGTGATTGGGTAAAGCCAAAACTTATTATAAGCCACAGCCAACCTAGGGTCCCCCCTGCTAGCTAGCCTCCCTGGATCTGTGGGTTGCAGTCTGATTGTCCTTTGCTTTATATCTAGTATCCACTTGTGAGTGAGTACACACCATATTTGTCCTTCCTTGCAGAGTCTTTTAGTGATGAGAAGGGAGGTGGTAGAGGAGGCTAATCCCAGCAGTCTGTTAGCCCAGATTTGCTCCTTGTAGCCCAAGTCCCGTACACTCTGGCTTTTAACTACTTTTTACTACCCGGAGCCCCATGCCCAGGAATCTGTTTTATTAAGGACATATCTGCCACAGCAGGGCCAAACCTAGGGATCCCTGATGTCCCCCCCACTCTTTTTTTTTTGAGTAGCTTTCCCAGGAACCCAACACTAATACAGCCACCACTCACTGAGCAGTTTTACACTGGGCACACAAGGGCCAGTCTTCACTGTGGTCTGGCGAGTGACTCACCAGACGACATCACTGAATGTCAAACAGGCACTATCAAATCCTCCAAAAATACAATCCTGTGACGTCTGTGCAGCATAGGCTCCACCCAGGGCCCGAGAAAGAATAGCCAGCGTGTAGGTACGTACACACACACACACACACACACACACACACACACACTTCACAGATCTCTCTCTCTTTTTTTTTTTTTTTTTTTTTTTTCTCGAGACAGAGTTGGCTGTCCTGGAACTCAGTCTGTAGACCAGGCTAGCCTCTCACTCACAGAGATCCGCCTGCCTCTGCCTCACAAGTGCTGGGATTAAAGGTGTGTGCCACCACCACCCAGCTCCACAGATCTCTTTAACTGCCCGCCCCTCTTCCCATACACACCATCTGAGGCCCTATAGCTCCGTCTTACAGAAGTACCAACACAGCCTCTTAAATATTGAGCACTTAACTGAACACCAGCCCTGCTCTGGCCTGTGTCTTGGAATCAAGGTCAGGATGGGGCAGGGACAAGTCTGAGTGCTTCGCAGAGGCAAACTGTGAGCCAGGCCCAGCTCCCTGTCCCACCTGGTTCCGTATCCACAGGTGACAACCAGGGCATCCCGATCATGTCCAGCATCAAGCTGAGAGAGGAGCAGCGCATAACCACGACGTCCCCCTGGATGTTTCCAGCCCACCAGGTATGGCCTGAAGACCATGTGTTCATTTCCACACCAAACTTCAACTACACAGGCCAAGACTTCAAGCGGTTTTTTACGGATCTGCATTTTGAAGACGGATGGTACATGTGGCTCCAGTCGCGTAACCTGCTGGCGGGCCTCCCAGCACCTGGTGTAGAAGTGTACTGTCTGTATGGTGTGGGCCTGCCCACACCCCACACCTACATCTATGACCACAGCTTCCCCTACAAAGACCCAGTGGCTGCACTCTATGAGGATGGTGACGACACTGTAGCCACACGCAGCACTGAGCTCTGTGGCCAGTGGCAAGGCCGCCAGTCACAGCCTGTACACCTGCTGCCCATGAATGGGACAGAACATCTCAACATGGTCTTCAGCAATAAGACACTGGAACATATCAATGCCATTCTCCTGGGTGCCTACCGCCACGGTACTCCTGAGCCCCCAGCTGCCAGCCCAGCTCCCCCACCCCCTGAATAAAAAGACCTTTGCTATTAGAAGTTCTGTGTGTTGTGGGTTAAGTAGAAGGCACTACTTAGATTCATGTATCACCTGTCCCAGGGGAACATGAGGTAAGATGGACTTTGCTAAAGCCTGCGATTAAACTGAACACTTTGAGATGTGTAGATTCTCATTGTCCTGGTTGAGCTGCTCAGAAAGCCTGCCCTATGCCTTCCTTCATGGTGCCTGTGCCAATATTCAGATGTAGGTACAGCTGTTGGAATGGGGCACAGAGAAATATGATTTGAAATAGACTTGAATTCTGGTTGGATACAAGAGTTTAAAATAGAGCCAGGCATAGTGGTGCATGCCTTTAATCTCAGCACTGGAAGGCAGAGGCAGGCAGATCTCTGAGTTTGAGGCCAGCCTGGTCTGTATAGTTCCAGGATAACCAGGACCACATAGAGAGATCCTGTCTCAAAAACACCAATAAGTAAACCAGACAATGGTGGTTCACACCTTTAATCTCAGCCCTCGGGAGGCAGAGGCAGGTGAATCTGTGAGTTCCAGAACAGCCTGGTCTACAAAGTGAGTTCCAGGACAGCCAGGGCTACACAAAGAAACCCTGTCTCAAGCAAAATAAATAGAGTTTAAAATATGGGGGCTGAGAGCTGGAGATCTGTTAGGAATGTAAAATCGCCTGGTGGTAGTGTTGCACTCCTTTCATCCCAGCTCTCAAGAGGCAGAAGCAGGTGGATCTCTGAGTTGGAAGCCAGCCTAGTCTATAGAGTGAGATCCAGAGCAGCCAGGACTACACAGAGAAACCCTGTCTCAAAAAACCAAAACAAAAAAAAGGGGGGGGGGGCGCTAGTGAGATGGCTCAGAGGTTAAGGGCACTGACTGTTCTTCCAGAGGTCCTGAGTTCAATTCCCAGCACCCACGTGGTGGCTCTCAACCATCTGTAATGAGATCTGGTTCCCTCTTCTGGCATGCAGGCAGAACACTGTATACATAATAAATAAATGTTAAAAAAAAAAAAATGTAAGATCTGGGACTCCATAGCCCGCAGTTAGGGGCTGGAGAGATGGCTCAGCAGTTCTCTTCCAGAGAACCCAGATTTAATTCCCAGCACCCACATGGTAGCTCACTCCAGTTGTAGGGGATCTGACACCCTCACACAGACATACATGCAGGCAAAACACCAATGCACTTAAAAATAAATAGAGCCTGGCAGTGGTGGTGCATGCGTTTAACCCAGCACTCAGGAGGTGGAGGCAGGCAGATCTCTGTGAGTTCGAGGCCAGCCTGGTCTATAGAGCTAGTTCCAGGACAGCCAGGGGTACACAGAGAAACCCTGTCTCAAAATAATCAGGACTACACAGAGAAATCCTGGAGAGAGAGAGAGAGAGAGAGAGAGAGAGAGAGAGAGAGAGAGAGAGAGAGAGAGAGAGAGAGAGACAGAAAGTTTAGAGCTAGGTGGTGGTGGCACATGCTTTTAATCTCTGCATTCAGACCAGCATGGTCTACAGAGCTAGTTCCAGGACAGTCAACAGTACATGGAGAAACCCTGTCTCAAAAACAAAAACAAAACAAAACAAAAAGTTTAGGATCTGAAGAAATGACAATTCATCTAAGGAAGGCTTAATTTGGGGCTCCAGAGATAGCTCAGAAGTTAAGAGCACTTGGTGAACTTGTACCAGCACCCACACGGTGGTTCACAACTATCTGTAATACCAGTTTCAGGGAATCTGATGCTCTCTTCTGACCTTGGTGGGCACATAGCATGCACGAGCCACATGCACTCAGAGACATAATTAAACCTAAAAGGGCTTAATTTCGGGGTTGGGGATTTAGCTCAGTGGTAGAGTGCTTGCCTAGCAAGCGCAAGGCCCTGAGTTCTGTCCTCAGCTCCGAATTTAAAAAAAAAAAAAAAGCGCTTAACTTGGACTTATCTTTAAAGAGTTACGTGTAGGAGTGTTTTGCCTGCGTATATGTATGTGCTTACAGTGCTCACGGTGTCAGATGAGACGGGGATGGAGGAACCGAGGAGCACCATGGAAGACCCGGTGAGGGGAGCATCTCCTTCCTCAAGCTACCTGGGACTAGAGGCAAAGATGAAAGTGAAACAGAAGACGCACAAAGCCGCCAACAGCCTCTGAACTAGGGTGGAGTTGAAAGCGAAAGTGGGAAGCGTCCTGCTCAACCCCACCGAAGCCCAGGCAGACGCCTTTCTGCTTCCCTGGGCTTCACTCTTTTCGTCTAATCCACCCGTCGACCCCCGGGTCTCAGTTGGCTTCCCTGCCCCAAGATGCTGAAGCAGGCAGTGGAACACAGAGGAGGCTTCTCTTTCGAGAACTGCCAGAGGTGAAGGGGGAGTGGAGTTCTAGTTGCGAGCTGCTGGTTCCCGACTGTAGGCACTTTTAGGGGGCCCGGGGGGGGGGGGGGAGTGGAACTGGGAACTGTATGTTGGGTGACCAAGTAGGGGCTTAACCCAGGAGATGAGGAAAGTAGAGATGGTTTGGGGGACCGGTTCAAGGACCCTCCCTAGAAGCAGAACTAAAACGCGAGTCACCCCACGTTTTCCAGGAATGCGTCCTTGGAACACGTCCTGTCAGGCCTTCGGGTCCCTCATGCACGCAAGACCGGGACTACCATCGCGGGACTTGTGTTCCGAGTGAGCAGGGCGGTGGGGCTGGAGAGCTAGAATGGCGCCATTGTGGAGAAGATGGGGTGGGCATTAAGTCTGGGGCTCTTCCTCTGCAGGATGGAGTTATCTTGGGCGCCGATACGCGGGCCACTAACGATTCGGTCGTGGCGGACAAAAACTGCGAGAAGATCCACTTCATCGCCCCCAAAATCTAGTAAGAATCCCCCAGCCCAGTCCCCACACTCTAACAAAAGCTGCAGTCACTCACGCCCTACTCTGTCCCTGCACGTCCCTGTCCACACCCACCATCCCTTTGCCCGCAGCTGCTGTGGGGCTGGAGTAGCTGCGGACACTGAGATGACCACGCGGATGGCAGCTTCCAAGATGGAGCTACATGCGCTGTCCACCGGCCGTGAGCCTCGGGTGGCCACTGTCACCCGTATCCTGCGCCAGACACTCTTCCGGTGAGGAGGTGGGGTGAAGATGATCCCTAGAGGGGGTATCTGCAGGTAGGCAGGGTTGTCAGGAGTGTGTGTTGGGGAACCGAAGAAAAGATCAGGCTGCTACCTGCAGAGAGGCCGGAAGAAGCCGGGCTGGTCTGACCAAAGCTGAGTTCCGGAAGAAGCAACAATCATTGTAGGACGCCAGGTCACAGGAAGGGGTGGGATTCAGACGGAGAAGCGGCATAAGGGGCGGGGCCTGGCTCCAGCTGGCCGTAACAGCGCCCACCGTTCACAGGTACCAAGGCCACGTGGGAGCATCACTGATCGTGGGCGGGGTTGACCTAACCGGGCCGCAACTCTATGGCGTGCACCCGCACGGTTCCTACAGCCGTTTGCCCTTTACGGCCCTGGGTGAGTGCTTCCATCCATTTCCCAAGAATCCTGCCCCTGCCACCCTCCCTTCAAGGTTTGTTCCCCAGATGGGGCAGCTACAGCTAACTTCAGGAGCCCCTTTCCACCTGCAGGCTCTGGACAGGATGCAGCCTTGGCACTGCTGGAGGACAGGTTCCAGCCAAACATGACGGTGAGCGACTTGTACCCATTACTTCATGCTCACATGCCAAAAACAAAAACAAAACAAAACCCTGGCCAAGTATAGAAATAAGGAAGGATTGTAGGGGAAGTAGATGATACCTGAGTAGGGATTGAATGATGTTGAAGGTCCAGTCAGTAACCAAGCTTAGACCGCTGAAAGACGCTGAAGCTCACAAAGGACCATTACTGAAGGAGAGGTAAACCGCAGTGGGGTTCTTTATGAGGTCTGAGGTCTGGGCTTTGGAGTGGGATAGAGATAGGTGACAATGTGCTTCCAAGGCCCAAAGAGAAACTCAGTGACAGAGAACTGGATTGGCGGGTGGGAAGACTGCTGGAAGGGGGCTATAAGTGTAAGGGACGCTGAGAAGTTTGTAGAGGACACGGGTGGAGGGAACACAGGGTTTGGGGAGAGAGGGAGTCGGAGGCCAAGGGACTGGCGGGAGAGAAAAGAAGCTGAGTTTGCACACACGGCAAGTTGTCTAGGCTTCGAAATGAACAAAGTCTTCAGGTTCGGGTGAGGCAACACCAGGTTCCTTTAACCTCATTCACACCACCACAGCTGGAGGCTGCCCAAGAGCTGTTGGTGGAAGCCATCACTGCGGGAATCCTGGGTGACCTGGGCTCTGGAGGCAGTGTGGATGCGTGTGTGATCACTGCAGCAGGCGCCAAGCTGCTGAGAACACTGAGCTCACCCACAAAGCCTGTGCAGAGGTAGGAGCAGGGGAGAGGTGGGCCGTAGTCTTCACAAGAGCGGCAAATAGGAGGTCTGTCCGGACAGGACAGGCTGCATGCTGAAAGGCTGGCCCTCCTCCCTTCTAGAGCTGGCCGTTACCACTTTGCTCCTGGAACCACAGCTGTCCTGACCCAGGAAGTGAAACCCCTGAACCTGGAGCTTCTGGAGGAAACTGTGCAGGCCATGGAGGTGGAATAAAGTGGCCTAAGACTTAGAGCTTGGAACAAGGGGGAATAAACCCAGGAAATACAAACACTTAAGCAGAAGACTGTCATTCTTGAGAGGAGTGGGACAAGCAGCCATAGGAGCTTTGTGGCTGAGGTATCTAAGGACCCGAGGCCTGGTTCCTGGCCTGAGGTACTCTTCATCATCACCTCAGGGATCTGTCCATTCAGGCTTTGAGATGGAAAGCTACATCCTGTCATCCCCAAACCAAATGCCACACGGCAGAAACTTACCCCACCAATACCCATCTTGTAAGACCCCATGGACAGCCCTTACTCAGAGCCTTTCCCTGGCTCATCAGTGACCCCCTATTGCCACCAGGTCCACTCCAAGGGAGCTAAAATGCTGATAGAGCAACTATTTCCTGACTCAAAGGGCAAGTTCTCACCAAGCACCCCTCACCCACCTACAGGGCCTCTACTTATGACGCCCCTCAAATGACCAGGCATGTGTGAGCCACTGGTGAAAAGCTGGGCCGTCTGCACCTGTGGGGTTGTGATTAGGGAGAGTGACTCCAAGTTCTCTGGGCTGAAAGGGGTCGTGGACTCACGGGAAGATGACATATTTAACAAGAAACCTCCACTAAGCACCCACTGAGTGCCAGGCCCACTGGGTGCTGGTGGGAACATCCTGATCTCAGAGTAGCTATGCTCCCCTGGGGCTTCAGAACGGATAAGTCACGTTCTCCAGAGAGGTTCTCGTCCAGGCTGGACATCCTTGGCCCCTGACTGTGTGTTTCCTAACATTTTATTATGAAAAATTTTATATACAATTATAAAGTTGAGGGAATTGTTCACTAAACATCCATATGTCCACCAGAATTTATAATTCATATTTTTGTTGTATTTGATCTTATGTCTATCCATTCCTTTATTCACCCATTCACTTGTTTCACTTTTTAGACTGAGGTATTTTTAATATTTTTTTTATCTAAAATTCATTTATTTATTTTACATCCCGACCCAGTTTCCCTCCCTCTTCTCCTCCCAGTCTTTCCTCTAGACTGAGGTATTCTTGAGCCAGTCAAAGCCTTTGACATCCTAGAAAATTCAAGCCAACTCACCTTTTACAACTCCGCACCTCCCCTCCACTGATTAAGCCCAGCCTGGAGCTCAGTAACAAATGCACTGTGGACAGATGGCAACCTGAGGTCTAGAAACAGATCTCACGGCTGTCACGTCTTGACTTCCAACTTCAGTCCAGAGTCTCTCAGCCACGGAGGGCTCACTCACACTTACAGAGATGTAGGTCTTAGAGGGTTTGGGCCCCATCCCACCTCATGCTAGTAAAACAGTCAGCATCTCTGGGCAAACCTCTGACTCCTGTTCCATACTGATGAGAAATCTGAGATCATGTCTGTTAGGATTCACAACCTGCCAGGCCCTCCATCCCTGGTCTTCACAGCAGAGGTGGCCACATCTGGCCATTCTTAGCACCAATCATAATACCTGTATGTTCTGAGCAGGCTTCTCTGGGAGTCCAGTATTCCTGATAGCCCTGGGAAACTTCATAGGTCCCAGCCACCAGTTTGACACTTTAGACGTAGTTCAGCCATATGTCTTAGTACCCAGTGACCAACACTTGGGGTAGCAGGTAGTTCAGAAAGCCAATAGAAAGCCAAGGCTTGGGGAGCCACCTCCCCAAGGTGAGAGCCTCACACCTGGATACTTGATAATTCCAAGGACTTTGGCCTAAGAAGACCTCTTCGAGGCAGGTGTGGGAGTGTGCTAAGACCATACAGCTGGTCTAGTCTCAAGCCCAAGGCTTCTGCCCAAGGACAAGGATACCCATAAATAAAGCTAGGCCATTCTCAACCTCATTCATTATCTCCCACAATGTTACTGCTCAGCCTAACCCTTAGCCTGGTCCTCCTTGGCTCCTCCTGGGGTAAGTGGGCTAGGACCAAAGCCTGACTGAACAACCTAGGAAAACTGAGCTCCCCGCTCCTGTTTAGGGGCCCAGAGAAGGAGCTAGAACGGAAAAGGACAGTGTAGGCAAAGGAAAAAACTGATGCAGCTAGGCAAAAAAGGAGCCTTCAGGGCTGGGGGTGAGGGAAGAGCCAGCGACCAGTCTCACAAATGAGCCAGGAGCTTGAGCCAGACCTGAGAAGACCCAGGAAAACATGAAAGATGTGTATAGTCTAAGCAAAGCAGACCTTAACTGCTCAGGCCTAGAAGAATAGAGGGCCAGGGAGATGACCCCAGGAATCGGAGTAAAGTGGCCTGAAGAACGTCAGGACTAGGCTGGTAGATGTGATAGAGTGCACATGATTTGAAGGCTAGTAGGATGGGTAACCAGATAGCTGTGTGTGCCTAAAGGCACCCAAGGGAAGGGCTAGTGAGTAGTCCTCTTGATTCGGATTCCTCTGGAATACACAGCTTGGGGGCCCCTGGAGGAAGACTGTAGGGAGAGGTAGGCTGGGATGTGGATCCTCACCAGCCCTCTGTTCAGGCTGTGGTGTTCCTGCCATCACACCTGTATTGAGCTACAACCAGAGGATTGTCAATGGGGAGAATGCCGTGTCGGGCTCCTGGCCCTGGCAGGTGTCTCTGCAGGTACACACTCTTGGGGTGGGTCAGGGTCCTGCATGCTTTATGCCTATAGGTAACTTAAGCCCATTCACATATCTGACTTTTGACCCTAGGAAAGCAATGGCTACCACTTCTGTGGTGGTTCTCTTATCAGCCAGAACTGGGTAGTCACTGCTGCCCACTGCCAAGTCACGTGAGTGTAATCCACCGGCCCTGCCTCGTCCATCTCTTTCCACTTCCTTCACTTGGATGTCCCCTCTGAAACCCCCCTGGCAGCTACCCATTCCCATTATCCTTGCAGTCCTGGGCGACACTTTGTTGTTTTGGGAGAGTATGACCGATCTTCCAATGCCGAGCCTGTGCAAGTGCTGTCCATCTCGAAGGTGAGTACCTGGCCGCACACACAGAAAGGAAAAACGGGCCTCAGGTGGCTTGCTTTGGACTAGAAGCTCAAGCACGCCCTGACCTAGCCCTCAGTACCAACCCCGGGTACGGGCACCTGCTCCAGCTTTCCATGGCGTTTCCTGGCTCCACAGGCCATTACCCACCCTAGCTGGAACCCCACCACCATGAACAACGACGTGACCCTCTTGAAGCTCGCCTCACCAGCCCAGTACACACAGCGCATCTCACCCGTCTGCCTGGCTTCCTCAAACGAGGCGCTGCCTGCGGGGCTCACCTGTGTCACCACCGGCTGGGGCCGCACCAGTGGTGTGGGTAAGAACTTGGGTAAGAGCGAGGGGGGCCCGGATAGGCATCCCGGGCCAGCCTGACCGCCTTTCCCGGCCCACAGGCAATGTGACGCCAGCACGTCTGCAGCAGGTAGTTCTCCCCCTGGTCACTGTGAATCAGTGTCGGCAGTACTGGGGTTCAAGTATTACTGATTCCATGATATGTGCAGGTGGCTCAGGCGCCTCCTCGTGCCAGGTAAGCAGAGGCACCCTGTCTTCTGCCCTGTCCCATGCTACACTTCCCCAGCTGCCAGGGCAACTTTTCCCCTGTTCTTCCCTTTCAGGGTGACTCAGGAGGCCCTCTTGTCTGCCAGAAAGGGAACACCTGGGTGCTTATTGGCATCGTCTCCTGGGGCACTCAGAACTGCAATGTGCAGGCACCGGCCGTGTACACTCGAGTTAGCAAGTTCAACACCTGGATCAGCCAGGTCATGGCCTACAACTAAACCGACCACAGGTCCTTCCCCCTCTCAATCCAATAAAGACACCAGACTCAGTTCTCTTGTGTACCCTTGTCTTCCATCCTGGCCTGGTGGGAAGGAGAAACTCTTGAGGGCTCTACCCCTGACCTGGACTTTGTCATCCCAGGCTGTGGCCCCTTACTCCTCTTTTTGAACAATCCACTAGTCCCATGGCAGTCAGGGTGGTCAGAAAAAATGGCAGCCTTCACGGGGGAGGGCAGCCTGTTTATTGGATACAGAAGATACATTTACAGAGTACACAAAATAAATAACTGCACATTCTCCATCCACAGTCCATGGCAGGAAGGCCTGGTGGACCTATCAAAGGCCCAAGACGTGAACTCCCTCTGCCCTATCCTCACAACCAGGCTTATTTTGGGCAAGAAAGAAAATAAATCCCCAGTGGTTCACACCCCCAGAGATTCCTGGGGAACTGGTAGGTGGGGGGATTCTGAGGCTGTGAGACTCAGGTCCTCCACTGCCTCCTATCCAGGGGGCAGGAGGATGTAAGGAGAGGGTATACAAGGCACAGTTGACTTGGCACAGAGTGGTCTCTTTGGTTTGGTTTCCCAATGGAGGTGGCATACATAGAAAGAGGGCCTAGCCCAAGGCTGCCCCTACTGAGAGGAGCTGAATGGGACTCAGACTCTTCCAGCTGACAGAGGCTCTTAGTCTAGCTAAGGCCCAAGCTAGGCTCTGTCTGGCCCCTTCCTACCCACTGAAAGCAGCTACAGAGGGAGGGAACTTGGATTCCAGCCTAGTGTGATGGTGGTAGGGAGACCATGACAGCTATTGGAACTGTTGTGGCTCAGTTCTCTGGGACAGCAATCCCTGCAACCCTACCCTACCTCCCAGAAGAGCTCCCTCAGCCTGACTCAATGGGGCCAGCCTGGAAAGTTAATGCTATGAGAAGAAGTGGGCACAGGGCAGATAGGGCAAGGCCAGCTCTTCAGCAAGGTCAGCACCCAAGGCACCCAGGGTTCAGAAGCAGGTAACACAGTACGGCTAAGTTCCAGGGTGAGGTTTGGAGAAGCTGAGCAGAAGGGGAGTTGAGCAGCCCAGGACTCTCCCCCAATTCAGCAACTCCTTTCTTTCCTCTTCCTTTTGGAGGGCTGTGGGTTTGCAAGGGTGTGCACCAGTCACCACCCCTCCCCTGGCCACCTATACCCAGACCAGACACTAGATGGCGCCATTATGGAGCTATAAAGAGGGCATGGCAGCTTCAGAAAGGAACCAGTTAAGGGCAATACCAAAGGACGGAACAAGAGTTGACCATGAAATTCTGGGGAGGACCCTCTTCAGGCACATCCACCCCCCAGGTAGCAGCAGTGGAGCTCCCTTTAACCCCTCACGGTTGGGAAGAAGGCAGCTGGGGAACGAAATGGGCATCCAAGTAGGGGAGGGAGACAAGAATGGGCTCTGCAAAGACACTGAGGGTGAGGCAGGATCTCTCACAGAGAGGCTGGAGCCCGAGGCTAAGGTCCACGCCACAGTCCTCCCACCAGAGGTCCTGGCAAGTCTAGGGGCTAGACAGGGTCCCTAGTGGCACCATGAAGAAAGCTTGCTCTTGGCTGGGGGAAATGATGGGGTTGCTTGGATCTGACTAGGGCTAAGGCACCAATGAGGCACCCAGGGCTTGCAATCTAGCTATGACAAAAGCTAGACCGCCCACTGGAGCATAATCTTAGGGATTAGCATGACATAAGATATGGAGCTAGACCAATGCTTTGTGGAGGAAAGGGGGGTTTATAAAAGTGACAGATTCAGAGAGTCCAAAGCCATAGGACCCTTTCTACCCAATTCTATAGACCCCTTTGGTCCAAGACAGAGGCAAACATTAAGGAGATCAGTGGGGACTGGGTCCTGCCCTTTCTTCCAACTCAGAGCAGCTGCCTACCAGCTCCCAGTTTAGATGGTCCTGAGCCACCATTTCATAACAGGCCCAGGCCCATGACAGGAGGTAGGGACTACTAAAGCACAGAGAAGAGCTGGGTCCAGACATGCTCTATATACAGCTGGTCATGATGCCTAGGTACAGAAGACATTGGGCCCAGGTGACAGAGCAGAGATGAGACAAGAGTGTGTCCATGTCATAGCTAGTGGCTCAGCCATTGTATTGCTGCTGATAGCGCAGGTTGAGCTCCCGCAGTTCGCGCTCTCGAACACGGCGTGACTTGTTGGAGCGTGTGGAGCGGCTGGAACGTGTGGACTGGGAAGATTTGGTGCTCTGGCAACGAGAGGAAGCACGCTTGAGGAGATTCTGGGAGATGGATCGGTGCAGATTCTTCATGGAAGAAGAGGCTGCCATGCTTACTACCCATGGGTGTCTCAGGGCCTGCAGTGCAGTCATCCGGGCTCCAGGGTCCACTGTCAGCAGGCGGTCAATGAAGTCCTTGGCCAGATTAGACACACTAGGCCAGGGCTAGAAGGCAGGACAAGCATTAGTGTGAGAGCCTCAACACTGCCCTCCCATCTGGATCCACCCGGATTTGTGCAGGCTAGAGAGGCAGCACCCTCCTCACAGGCAGCACACTGGAGCTCCTCTCCCTCCCCGGAATGCTGACTCAGGTAACTGAGCAGGTGTTGCTGGTGATGAGTCTGACAAGGAGGAAAAGGACCCATCATCTATCCCAGGGAGCCTGACTAAAGGAGCTGGACCCTGCCAAGACCCCCAACCTACCCTACAGAGGTTTTTCTTTTAAACACGGTCTCTCGGTATAGCCCTGGCTGTCCTGAAACTAAATATGTAGACCAAGCTGGCCTATAACTCACAGGGATCCACCTGCCTCTTCTTCCTGAGTGCTGGGATTAAAGGCCTGTGTTACCACATCTGGCTGGGAGATTTCAACATTTATTTTATATGTGTGTACCTGAGTGTATGTATATCCACCACATACATGCAGGCGCCCATGGAGGACAGATGGAACTGGAGTTTCAGGCAGTTGAGAGCCCTCTGGGGTATTGTCCTTTACAAGGACAGCTCTTAACTGCTGAGCTATCTCTCCAGTTCTAGATTTTTAAAGAAAGTGATCCAAATTTTCTTACCATGTCTAAGCTCCAACAACCATCCGTCTGGACCAAGTATAGTAGAGGAGAATTTTATGGTCCTTACTGAGAGGGTCTCACCTCCTAATTTCCAAGGAATTCCCTGCCTCAGTCTCCAAGTACCAAGAGAAAAAAATCATTTAATGTATCTATATTTCTCAGTTTGGTGACAGGGTAGGGACTTCTGGGGGCAGGTAAAGATGACCCTTCTCAGAGGCTCTGTCTAGTTTGCATGACTTCTTTGAGCCACAAAGCTCCTATAATTAGCCAGGTGTAGTGGTGAATGCCTTTAATCTCAGCATTTGGGAGACAGAGACAGGCAGATGCCTGTGAGTCTAAGGCCAGTATGGTCTACATAGTGAGATCCTATCTCAAAACAACAAAACAATTCCTCTAAGTATTATGTGCCAGCCTCCCTTCTACTATATTTCTGTCCCTGCAGAGCTCTCCTAAAAGTCTGTTCTGCTACAGGTAACCAGAGCTGCCTTGTCTTAGCCATTCACCAAGCAGCAGTCAATCTCTAGGTCTCAGCCTCCCTAGCTTGCCTTTACCTGGATGAACTTAAATTCTTAGGGTAAAGGAAATTTCCTTAGGTGCTCTCCTAGCCCCAGTGCTTACAATTATTCTAGCCTGAGTTCCAAGTTGATTATTCCCATTAGATGGTACTGAGTCCTAGTGCTTGGCACAGCACATATAGAAGGTACTCACTCAGTAGGTATAGGTGTAGTGAATTAACCATCAATGGATGCTGTCTAATGAGTATTCATTGTGGAAGCTGCTGCAGGCCATGGAACTCAGCCTGGTGGAGTTAAGTGCCATGGATCCTTAAGCTGACCTACTAGAGGACAGGTTCTGGGGCCCTGAATCTCCTGAGAGAACTTCTAGACAGGCTATGATGCTCCTTAAAGGGTAGGCCACCAGCTAATTCCCTGTCCTGCTATATAGGCTCTACTATGATGCCAGGGCCACCACTGCCTTCGTTACTGTGACTTGAAGGCTGTCTGTCCTACTCCGTGGCACCTTTTACCTTGGGGAGCCTCTGAACATGCTCTCCAGGGTACTCAAGCACACCTTACAGAAGTCCACATTCCAGGTAGGGACATGGCCATTTAACAAAGACACACAACTGCTGATTCATAGCACCCTAGCAGGGTTCCCTTGACCTCTTGCTAGACAAGAGGTCACCCCTTCCCAACTGCTAGATAGAAGTGATGCAGAGAGAAGACTCATCTGGACTCCGAAGGAAGAGGTAGGTGGTTTTCTTGTAGTTACTGTCCTCACCTGCCTATTAGAAAGCAAATCTCACCAGGCAGTGGTGGCATATGCTTTTAATCCCAGCACTCAGGAGACAGAGGCAGGAGGATCTCTGTGAGTTTGAGGCCAGCCTGGGCTACAGAGCAAATTCCAGGACAGCCAGAGCTGTTACAGAGAGAAACCAAACCCTGTCCTCTCCCCAAAAAGAAGGAAAGACACGTATTCACATAAAGTATTTTTTCTTTAAAGAAAGCAAGGTGGATTGCTGCTGCTATCTGAGTATAAGCCTCTACCTCTCACAAGATAGAAGCAGCAGCCCTAGCAGAGCACCTGATGAACATGGCCAAGCCCAGAGCTAAACAGATCAGATCAGAATATCTGCCTTGTGCTGTCCTGCTGGGTTTCTCTAGTGAGCAGGAAAAGCTATTGCTTGTTGAAGAACAGCTCCAAGGAAGCCCAGGGCACTCTGAACAGAGCTAAATGATCCTAAGTCTGTCCCTTACTCGATTCTGAACAGAAGGAACAACTCCTAAGCCAGGCATTTTGGTACACAGATAGGATCCCAGTACTTAACCAGGCAGTGGTGGCACACACCTTTAATCCCAGTGCTTGGGAGGCAGAGGCAGGTGGATCTCTCTAAGTTTGAGGGCAGCCTGGTCTACAGAGTGAGTTCCAGGACAGCCAGAGCTACAAAGAGAAACTCTGACTTGAAAAAACAACAGTAATAATAATAATAGTGATGATGATGATGATAATAATAATAATAAAAGCTCACAGTACTTGGCAGGTGGAGGCAGGAGGATCAGGAGTTCAAAGCCATCCTGTACTAATTTATAGACAATGTGAAGCTAGTTTAGGCCTCCTGAGACCCTATCACAAACACCCGCCTCCAAACAAGAGTCGCAGTTTCTCTGCAGAAGGTGGGACAGTGGAAAAGCTGGACTCACAAGCGAGAAACCTACGCAAGGACGAACTGGAGGCCTTCTCCCTTCAGATCCTCCCCCAGTAAAAGCATGGACTCCTGCAGCTTGCAACCAGCCTGATGCTGTCTTAGAAGGGCCTCTCACCAGACCTGCACAGTGAGTTTAAACATCTTCATCTCCAGAGCAGCACAGGCACGCACCAGGCACTAACCCCTGCTGCCTGTGAGGCGCTCAGTCTGTTAGTACAAAGCGAGCCAGATTGATCCATCCTTCCTACTCCCCCAGACTCTCGCCTCATCAATTATCGTGTCCGTGCCACTGTGTACAGAATGCCAATGGACTCGTTTGTCTGCAGGCCAGCAAGCTCCATGGAAAGCCCCCAACACTCCCCAGCTTGGAAGAGCTGGGAGCAACTATGCTGGTAGTGGTCCCCAAGCCAATGTGACTCAGTCTATCTAATCTTTGTGTGTTAGAAAAAATTGCAGTAGAAAGTTAAGCAGGCTGATCACAGGAAAGTAGTCCTCGTCCAGCTTGCAGACAGTAAAGCTGGGGCTTGGGGTGACCTCCAGTTGAGTGACCTTTGAAAAGTTTACCTAGACCTCCCACATTACTCAGAAAGGTAAGGTCTCCTATATCTTCCACAGTCCCACTTCTGGACTCATATCTAATTTATCACCTCCCATTACCTGAAGCCCATCCCACGTGCTTCTCTGGAGCCCAAGTATGTCTACCAGGCTATGACTGACCGGTCAGGAGGTATTCTGGACATGAGAAAAAGAAAAATGATTAAACAGCCACACCCTTCAGTTTCCAAAGTTCTAAGTGCTTTCTCTGGCTAAAGGACAGAACTCTGACCTCAGTATATATCCTTGTGGTCAGACAGGGACATTCATGGGCCTCAGGTAGCTGACAGATGGGACAGGTCCAACTAGCAGCTGATTAATCTCCCATTTGTTTCTACCTGTATCTGGACAGATAGGAAACACAGGACAGGGTGAGGGCCAGCAGGAAGAGGTCAGTTGGCTCTGCCTGCTGACAATCAGGAGATCAGAAGACAGCTTCACTATACATGCTCCTAGCCCATACTCTCCATGAGTCTCTGGACACTGCATGGGTGGGGCTGGGCCCCGTGCTGAGGCTGTGGGAGGAAGGTAATCATTGTCACTCTGAGTCTGACCATCAAGTGGGCTGCCTTTTTCCCTAGTACACAGACTCCCAAAGACCTTGTTCCCTTGCAGCTAAAGTACCTATTCTTGAGGTTATAACAGCGGAGGAGACAACTGTAAAGAGTGGGCGGGACCACTCCCTAAGCACCCCCTCACCAATTTCCCCTCATTATCCCCTACTTTTCTCCTGGGCAAAGTCATTCCTCTGTGGACTCCAACTCTCTCCTAGAGGGAGAGGCACCAATATACAAAGGCATTGTGTTCCAGCTCAGAGAATGTGTCTCCCTTTTTCTCTGCCCCTTCTACTTGAGTGGGGTGGCAAGGACATTTCCCAAGGACATGACATAGCCTCACTTTGAGCCTGAAAGCTAAGGGTATGAGGTTGGAGCACCTGTCCAGCCTAGGCTACATAGGGATAGGAAAGCTGCTTCCTTCTGGCAGCAGACCCTGATCACCTGCTGCCTCAGACTTCCTCTGGCAGAAGGCTGACCACTCTCTAGTGAGACTACAAGAGAACCAATGGCCCAGGTCTCTTCTGGATGGCGTCAGAGTGACAGGATAGTGTCAGGCTATGAGCCCGGTAATCAATTCCACTTCTTTGTATGACCTAAGAGAACTCACATCTCCCAACTTTCAACATGGAGAGAATGAACACAACATAATTCTAAGTGTCTCCTAATTTTGAAAGTTCTGGATTTTAAGAACATGGCTTCCCATCTCTTTTCACTCTTTGGCTGCATGTGAGGCAGAGGATGTGATATGCTGGCCGAACTCCTGACCCCTGAGGTTCCTTATTCATCCCATGACTTTGGGATAAGAGGGTCGTCCTGCTGTATAGCAGCCAGGGGTAGGAAGGAACAGAGCCGGGCTTGCTAACATGACTCAGCTCTTCCTTCAGCTTTGTCTCAAGAGGTATTTTTATATTTTCAGACCCAGTATTCCCACCCTCAAAGGCCTCCTCTCTGTACTTACGTGGGCCTGAATCAAAGCCGAGAAAAGGGCACAGAAGAAATTCTGGGAAATAGAGCTTTGGG